TATTTGCCATGCGATTTGTTATTAATGTTCTTTAACATAACATCAGAGAATGGCTTGATTTATCCTGAGAAGAAAATAGACACAGGTGGCATCTATTTACTGGAAAGTGATGGTAATTGGTTGCAGCAGTTTACATTTAAATGCATCAGCCTTAGAATGGCTAAATACTGTGTGCCACACTTATGTAAGTTTTCCTCTTCTCCATTGATGAGCGAAGACAGGACCTTTTAGATGTAGATGAATACAAAATAATCAGAGATGGCAAAAGTACTCACTTTCCGTACTTGAGTAAAAGTACAGATACTTGTGTTAAAAAATACTCTAGTAAAAGTGGAAGTACTGATTAAACTTCTTTTCTCAAGTAAAAGTAACAAAGTACAGGCTTGTAAATTTACTTAAAGTATAAAAGTAAAAGTAGAAACCACTTTTTTCATGCCGTTGCCTACATTTTAAATGGATGTCTGCCAATAGGACTAGATCTCCGTTGTGTTCATTTTCAATCATCTCGTCGTCCATACTACTATGCTAACGCCACCGCCACCAAGCTGCAATGATTTGCCGCGAATGAATACCACCAAATCTGTCGATTCATCTTGTAGTGGTGCGTCAAATGCAACGTAGATTCCCATCCAATTAGATTGAATTTGGTATTGATGACGTGAAAAATAATAACGGTAACTCCATTGAAATGACTCAAAACTAAAGTAACGAGCCAATTTTTTTAAATGTAAGGAGTAGAAAGTACAGATATTTGTGTAAAAATGTAAGGAGTAGAAGTAAAAAGTCGCCATAAAAATAAGTAGTAAAGTAAAGTAAAAATATCAGAAAAATCTACTTGAGTACAGTAACGAAGTATTTGTACTTCGTTACTTCCCATCTCTGAAAATAATCTATTACCTTTTCATTTGATGTCAAACTAAAAGAGTATCTCTACATATTTTAAAAGGAGCTGGATAAATATTAAAGGATTTCTGAAATCTTTTCTCCTGGGATGTTTACTATAATTTTTTTTTTTTGTCTGGTACTTCACTCTCATTTTCTTTTTCCTACTTTTATTTCCATCCCTCCTAACTTTGATCAATGGATCAATCATTCAGTCACAAAAATGTTGCTAAATAAATGTATCTCATCCCTTTGGTCAAATCTTTGAAAAAATCAAACAAAGATAGATGGAAAGCAAAATAGCATTTAATGAATTGTAAGCTGAATCACACAGAGGTTTTATAAAGAAATTCTCCCATCTGGAAAGTGGAAACACAGAGGAGACTTTGTATGTTTTTAAAGACAGACTTTCAGATATGCATGATATAACTTCTGTTCTTCCATATTTCTTATTAACCCATAACTACATTAGTGCACAACAGCAACAGCAACAACAGTGTGTTATTATGGTAAGGTATAAGAACCAAAAGTTGAGAGTAAAAAAAGAGACCACATTTCTATAAAAAGTTTAATGAACCCCCCAAAAAAAGACCTGTAGAGCTTTAAATAAATTCACTCTAAAGATTGCGGACAACCTAAATACATAAAAGAATAGCTGTTGCTGATGGTGGTTGGTGTAAAACATTTGAACTGAATCGTCAATAGTTAGACAATTCAAATGTATAAGCTTATAAGCTTTATAAGCTCTAATATATTTTTGTGTGCTCTAAAAGCTGGAGAAAAACATGCAGAATTTCTATATTTAAATTGCATGTAAAACACACCATGCATTATTTATAATCTGAATAACAGATGTATGGTTCATGTCAAAGTTACACACACTTGTTCTTTGCTCTGCCTTTCATGATTCAGAAGACCAGTGGTGTCAAAAGTACACACATTTGTTACTTAAGAATAAGTATGGATACTGCAGTTTAAAAACACTCTGGTAAAAGTTGAAGTATCAACTTGACCTCTTTGCTCAAGTAAAAGTGAAACAGTATGAGCTCCAAAAACTACTTAAAGTATAAAAGTATAAAGTAACCTTAAGACATAACAGCCAGATGCCACTATTTGGATTGAAAGCTCAATTTTCTGACTATTTCTAAAAAATTCTTTGAGATAGGGCCAAGGATGATGGAGGTCTTGTTGGTCTCCGTCTCCATCTCCAGATACGCTCTGGCCTGTGTCCGACCTTTCAGACATTTTGACATCTTTTTCTGAATCCAACATTGTAGCATGGCATAGACAATTCACGTTTGCAGTTTGAAGAACACCTGCTTGCTTCTGATGATTTCCTTTTGCGTCAGCAAAAATTTGACGAATAGCTAACCAATGAGTGTTTGCGTTATATGACTCATCCAATGACAGTAGTTTTCACTAGATGTGGATGGAGCCAATGATCTGCACTGGATGGCGCACATGATGTGAAATAAATATTTATAAACATTAAACCAAAGCCAAGTGTAATGAGTAATGTTTGTTTTAAAAATGTAAGGAATAGAAAGTACAGGTACTTGTTTGAAAATACAATGAGTGGAAGTCAAAAGTAGGAAGAAAAATAAGTAATGGAGTAAAGTATAGATACCTAAAAAGTGTACTTAAGTACAGTAACAAAGTATTTGTACTTCGTTACTTCACACCTCTGCAGAAGACCCAACTGTTTACTGTGCACCAATATATCAGCCTTAAACTGTTTGTTTGTTTAGGCTGTTAAAAAGACGAAGCAAGTGTGCATATCAGGATTATACATGTATATTTGATTTCCCCTGCAATTGAGATAAATCTAAATATGAAAGGCCAAAGATTGGACAAGTCAAATTTGAAACACTGAATTATTAAGAGCCCTCATTTGCATTATAGATTGATGCAAAAATGATTTTTTTCCCAACTGTGCCAAAGACTGCTTAAAACCTCTTCATCAGAGTCATTCAAGCAAAGAGTCAATAAAATAGTGCAATTAGGCCCGCTCTTTAAAAAATCTGAGGCTGTCTAATTGACTGTGTGCTCGAGTGGAAGAGCTGAATTTCCCTCCAGCAAGTTTAGTAACAACCGCAAAAAGCATATTTCATAAACATACTAAGATCTAAAGCGCAGAATGATGTATTCTGAGCGTACGAGAGGATGAGTAGTGTTCTTTAAGATGTTTTTTTTTTTTTTATGTTTCAAGCCTTTTAATGCAGTTCCCATCAAGTGTCTCTTTTATAAGCGCTGATCAGAGGCTCATCAGGAGTTTCATAACAGCATCTTTATAAAGCTCACACCACTCTGCTGTGGAGGGCCCTGTGGTGAGGAGCTTTGTATAACGTGGTGCACCACATCAAACAGAGCCTGGTCAAAGAGCAAAGCACTCAATATCTCATAGAGGTGAATTTAATGGCCACTGGTTGCTCTGGGCTCTTGACCCTCTCCGAGAGCCTCCATGTTAGTCACTCTCCAGTGCTTTCCAATTGAAACTCAGCCAGACTGGTAGTTGATGAGTTTTCAACCATCTACTCAAAGCCTGGATGAGTCTACCCATTGGCACAAGCTGAGCAAAACACCTGTGATGGCTCAGCTGATAAAGCATGGCTAAACTGAATGCTGGAGAGGTAATGCTTTCAATTTCTTCATAGAAAATGTTTTTCCTCTGCAAACTGCAGAAATTCCTTGCTTTATTTCTTGAGATATTTTATAAGAATGAAAATATCCCAATATCAAAAGAATGAGTGCATCACCTAATGAATTAAAGATTCTCAAACATATAACTATTTTATTTTCTACAGATTAATGCAAGAAGCTAACAACTTATTGTATGCTGTTCACATTTTGTCAATGAGATACTAAGCAACTATTCATTATAGTGCAAATAAAAAGAAAATGCTGCTCCACTGTCAGCAGCATTTTAAATAGTCAGTAAAATCCAACTGATAAATGACTTTTTTAAAGATTTAAAAAGAACATATCACTCATGTTGAATTTTGTATTCTTCCCAGATTTATTATATGAACATATGATGGATTACAGTGCCTCCATGCTGTCCTGTGGCGCCATCTAGTGGTAGCGGTTATATTCAATGTTTAATATCCTGAATTTTGCATGCGTATCTCTGTAAATTTGAAAACCTACATAAAAAATTCAGTAATTAAATTTAAACAGAAAAAGTAAAACAATCATATAGATTACTTTAATAGAGTTGTATCTTACAAGCATTTTTCTGCTACTTTTGAGGATTAAATTATTCAAATTTAAACAGGATTCTCAACAGATTGCTGGTCAAGTAAAAAACATGTCTAGAAACTGTATACTACATCTAATCAATACTTTATTTGGGCTTCCGTTGCATTAATTACTCACTGTTGCAGCATGGCATCGAGGCAATGAGCCTGCTATTCTGTTTACATGGACAGAAACCCCAGAATGCCTCAATAGCGGCATGCAGTTCATTGTGTCGTGTCTCTCATCTTCTTCAAATTGCTCAATAGATTGGTGGCCAGTCAAGCACAGGAACACCATGCTCACTGAACTAGGTCTTTGTCCCTTTATTTGGAAGTGGGGAAAATAAGCATTTTAATAAAGCTCGTCAGCAGGATTGCTTTAAAACTTCTTTTAGCTGTTGATTATGAGACGTTGTTCAAATAAAATGTGTTTCCAACTCCATCTCAGTTTTAGATACTCTCCTGGTACACCAGTTGATGTGGTGTACCAGGAGAGTATCTAAAGATGTGGGGGAGCCTGAAAATGGTCCATAATTTGATTGTTTGCAGAAAAGGGCAAAGATCTAAAATGTATCAGACACTCAGCCCTTTAGGCCCGATATTGGACACTGTTGTCCAGATGTAAAGTATCCATTGAGCAAACCCAGGGTTTGTTTTTTTGCCCACGAGATTCTTCCGATGTATTGTGAATGACACAGGGACTCCTGTTTCAAGGATGATCTTAAAGTTATGGCTTCAACTGCAGTCCACTTTTTTTTTTTGGATCTCCTGTGAAATTCTTGTTTTAAAAAACTACATATATGAACTTTCCACTGCAATTCTAATTCACTACCCACATCTTACCATTTTGTATAAATTTCAGACATCACACATGCTTCAAAAGGAATTTTTATTCCCAAGTAGATCAACAGTGACTCAATGTCATTAAACCTCTACTGGAAGCTTAATACAAGTAAATATTCATACAAATAGTGGGAAGTAAACGAATATCACTTTGGACAGAGTCAACCTTTACCATAACTGACCAAAATAAAGCATCTTTTACAAACACTTTGGTGACCTATGTCTATTAATCCTTTTCATGTATAAAAAGCATGGAAAAAAAGCATAAATATGAGGACAAGAGCCATTAATAAAACACAAGTTTAGAATATTGCACAGCAGCCAGGAGAGGGGAGTAACTGTAACTGTTGAAGCCACCAGCAGCTTTTAGGGTCTTCTCCGCCTGCAACAGAAAAGAGTGAATTAGAAAATGTCCAGCACTGTGAACAAAAACCATCCGTTTCCTTATCTTGGATGCTGGCAGCTTACTTTGTGATCCCATGATGCTCATATCCAGGGCCCATGTTTGATCCTGCCTTCATCTCCAAAGCAACAGAGCACTGGAAAAGAAAGAAAAGAAACAGGAATTTAACAATTCTTTCATTTAAATTTCTTACAGAGAAGAATTTTTTTTCCGTAATGATAAAACACTCTGGATAAAGTCCAGCCTCAAATTATGCTTCATCTTTTCCCCTAAGCTGCATCTGAACACTGTTAAAGAAGTTCTCACTAAAGAGAGTAGTTGACATAAATTCATTAACTAAGACATATTTAAGAGTCTTTATTTACCCGTGTTTCCACATCAGTCCAAGCACCATCTGTTTGATCTCCGCTTGCTGAGGCGCCTTCTGAAGATTTCCTTTTTCGACTTCAGAGGAAAAAAAAAAAAAACAGACATTTGCTCAGTTAGCATTTCCACCAAAACAGCTTTTATCGTGACAGAAAAAAAACACCATGCTTCATTTAGAAACATTCAAATGGTATTTAAAAATAAACAAATACATTTTGTCTCTCCACAGAAAATGTAGATCAACCAATTTAGGTTGAATCATGAAAATTTGGTGATGTATGTGATAAAGAGAGCTGATTCACTTCAAAATCTATAAACTTAGATTAGTCAAATCAGGACACTAAGCCTTCAATAAAAGGTTGGTTTGTAAATGCTCGATAACTTTATGATGTTTGGGAGAAATAACTAAATTTACAAAAAAACACATGTCAAAAAGGAGCAAAATTTTTTCCTTCTAAAAAATAAACATTTCTTTATTCAGAAAGGGGTTTTACTGTTCAAATTAAATTTCAGTTTTCATTATTTTAAAATCAGATGTAAATATGATACAACGATGCAAGTTACTTCTCCAATCAAAATATGCATGTCAGATAGCATCTTTTAGGCTGAAATCCAGAAACTCAAACATTTTTTCCCATGCAGTTTCCTTTCCCTTCCAATAAGGATGTTTAAAAATAATCAAGTGCAAATTCATACTTTTCCAGACTGCACAGTAACTCCTAATACACCCGTCTGTGAAAAATAACCGAGTACCACTTTGAAATCCTGAGACTGTAGTACCAAGCAGCATCTCAAATATATGCATCATGGACTTTGAATGATGCTAAAGTAGGATTTTTAAAGTGTTCATTACCTTGGGACTGTAGTGGTGGTAAGCTCCTGTTTAAGTGTCTCAATGTCTGTGAACTGAACAGCTTGGCCTCCTCCTCTGGTTTTAATCACTTCCCCCTGAAACACCAGAAGAAATCAAGTTATAAATAGCTTTCATTAGCAGCAACATAAAATCTAAAGGTGATTATCACACATTAAAAAAAAGAAAAAAAAAAAAAAAAAAGGTATCCAAAGCTGAAAACAATTGAAGGTGATTGTCATTTGTTGTCAGCAATGGTCCAAATAATAAAGGAAAACTTAAATATTCTCCAGCAATTATGAATTCTTAAGATGTTTTGATTACCAAATAAGTTTTCTGCTTCCAATTAAAGTCGTTGGGAAGGGGCTGTTCCAACCGTTGCTTTTCCGAATTCTCCCAAGTTATGCCCAACTTAACATGAGTGAATAAAGTGAATGTGATTGGTCGTTCATCAAGGGGGCGGGGTTGTTGCCGCGAAAGGTTTGCAAGCAAGTTTGGTTGTGAACATTGGGACGGAACTCAATGGTAAAGTACATGATTCTTATTTCAATCGTTGCGTATATTAGCTGCGACA